AACTTTAACGGTTAACTTAATAACTAACTAACTAACTAACTAACTAACTAACTAACCTAACCTAACTAACTAAACTATTAACTAACTAACTAACTAACTAACTAACGTACTAACTAACTAACTACTATACGTATATATATATATATATATATATATATATATATATATATATATATATATATATATATATATATATATATATATATATATAATATACATATGGAACGGGGTAGAGTATTGTCGATTATGATTAGAAACGCAGTATACTACCCGTGCGAATTGAAGTTAGAAATTGAATCAAATCTTAACATGCGCAGTTCAACTCGCCTCTTACACATCGCATAAAATATCGTAGGTATATGAAAATCTATGCATCTTCAAACACATATGGAAGATTGAAGTCAAGATTTATATTTCAAGACATCGATAGAGAATACACATATATCATAAATAAAGGCCTGAGAAAAATTTCCTCATGCCAAGCAGTATTATACACATATATTACTTACGTAAAGCATTGACAATCTGTGTAAGATAGCATGGCACACATATATCACTTACGTAAAGAATGGAGGGAAGTTATACATGTCAGGCCATTCGAAATCGTTTGCCGACACCATAATGCTATCAGGAATACTAGTGATACCTAATAGATCAACCTAAATTCACCCTAGCTGAATATTACAACGTTGATTGCAAGTAAATGAGGATTTATTAATACAAATACACGTATATATTTAATTTACATATATATATACATACATATTATTGTAAATATACTGAATACATGTTCGCTTCAAAATGCTTCAGAAAAGCAAAAGTTGCATGACTCATCGTAAATATCATGTCAGCGTGTCGTCATGTCATGTTTATTTCTGCACGACATCGGCGAAGGGCTTCATATTATATATAGAGTTCTACACATTGTGAAAGCTTCATGATAATGTATGTATATACCTGATCATAAACGCTTTAGTGCTGAGTATAAATAGCACACTATGGATGCTCTTACTGCCACTGGCACCAGTCCCTCGGTGGTAGACACAGCAGCGGCAGAAATAAGAGCCACACTCGACGCAGACAACCTCTCTGTGGTTGTGTACTTCACAATCGGGTTTACAGGACTGCTGCAATTGCCTTTGATTGTGGATGCAATTGACAGCCTGCTACCGAATACGATTGGCAGAGCAACACATGCAGCTGTATCATGGCTGCTAATTGTAGGAATAATATCCGTATATCTGGGATGCCTGGTGTTGAACATTGCTAAGGTATGGGTATGCTGTTCATGTTTGTGTACTTCGCAGTTGGGTGTATAAGGTTATTGTGCTTGCGATTGATATGCTGTTTTATAGTACAGACGAGAGGTCTACACAGCCAGACGCATCATGATTGTTGGCAGTGGGTATAGAATCGGTGTATTTCGAATGTCTGGTCTTGGATACTACAGAGGAAGACTAAATAAAGACACATGTCCCTGTTTTTTATATTGTTCGCGTGTGTGTACATGCTTCACTGGATTCGTGTATATATTTGTGTACGTCACGATCGGGATCCCGAGATGATCTCCAGTGCCTCCTATAGTCGATGTAATAGGTAGTATGTTGCCGGGTGCAGTTGGAACTGCACTTATTCAGCTCGGTCATGGGTGATGTTTGTGGCCCATGCTCAGTGTGGCCGAAATGTCTGATTTTGATCATATCTTCGGTAAGAATAGTTGTGTTGTTTTGAGCATGTCCCGGGAGAGTCTACATATGTTTGTATGAGTTCCTAATTGTTAGTCTTCCTTATATCGATATTATAAAAATGGCAGTAGTAAGTTGTTTATATGTATACCGGTTCTAGATTAAGACACCTTTTTGCTCGATGAGACGTCTCTATCACTACAGATCGGATTTAATGGAGGGTTCTGTGTTGTTAGTAGCCAATTGAACCAGACCGGACACGTACGCACCTACCCTACATACGGGTTTTCGGGCATTTAGACAGGCTTATTAACATTGGTTTATATGCAGATAGGTTATAAAAATAGGTTAAGATTTATAGATCTTAAAGGTCAGCTGTACAATATTCAGCACCACCCCTATATATAGTATGTCTGTTTGCACACATTAGTGACCGTGTTGCTGGTGGCAAACCCGCTATCCCAGTCTGTATGTATACATGCCTTTATATGCCTATATATTCTATGTAAAGTGGCACATTGAAACACAGATTGAAACACCTGTATATCACAACTAAAGTATAGACCCGATTTATACATCGATAGATCCTTCACTTCACGTAAAAAGGTGAATGGCATGAGAAAGATTACATTCCGGTGGTCATCCTGTTGGTGGCAATCGCCCTATATCGGTCTGTCACTCTAAAAATACAGGCATATATGTATATATATATATATTCCCATGTATACCCCAAACGAAGTAGATGGCATAATTGATGTTGTATATACTCGATTCATGCCTTTATAGACCCCCCCCCCCTTCTAGTAAGAACGGTATGGCATGACAAACGGCACATTCATTTGCACTCAGCAGTGGCCGTCAGCAAATACACGACATTGCTAATGTATGTATCCTATCTTTACCTGAGCAGGTTCTCCCCTTCTGGCAAGACGAGTATGGTATGTCAAACAACACTTTTCTCATACACACCGCAGTGACCATGCTACTGGTGACCAACTCTCTGTCCCAGTACGCTCTAGCGGCAATACTCATACCAACCAAGGTCACCCGCCCCCACAGTCAAAAAACAACTGTGAAGCATCAGAAAGGGCCCAGCGACCACCCGGAGTTACCCCGCGAGTTGGGGAAGGAGAGTGTTCTAAACGATACGAAGAAGAGCACAGCAAGTGATATGGTACAAAACCCGGCCAAGACGTCGGTAGAGCACACTGCGCATACCACCGTGTCTGAATCGGAGTGTAAGGGTGACCAGTTGGGAGTTGTTCAAAGTAGTGATGGGGGTGCAGATACGTCGGATGCGGATCGAACAAGAGATTTTGGGGAGAAGAACACGCAGGAGATAGGACAGGCCGCGTTAATGCCGGAGACCAAGCCAGGGGTGTACTGTAAAACCTGTGGGGCAGAGCGAACCCGCTGGCAAAACCACTGTCACACGTGTGGGTGTTGTAGCGGTAGGTAGAGTTTGTGAGCACTCTTTGTTCTGCGAGTTGTTTGGATGGAGGGGAGGAGTGTGTGTGGGTGTGTCAGTGCATTGCCACGCTCGAGACGTCGTACCGGGCTGTCTGGGACATTCTATTGCGATGCCTATGTAGTAGTCTGGGAGTAGCGAAAGGGTGTAACGTGTATTTTTTCTGGTAAATTGATAATACCACCACCACATGTGTGGGTGTTGAAGTTGTATGTGGTTGTCATGGCAACTGTCTCATCTATACTGCACATACGTGGTGATTCTAGAGCGTCTGTGAGTGACGTTGGGAGTATTGCACATTGTTGAATGAAGCCATAGTGCTTTTGGGCCGATCACTATCAACGGGGGTGTGCACTGTAAAACTTGTGGTACGGTATAACAGGATCACTGCCACAAGTCTGTATTATACGGCGGTAGAAGAATACTCTGAAGTGTGGTCTGTATAAGTGATAAGGAACGTTCGTGGATTCTACTTTATGGTGGTACTCTTTGCTGACTAAATTCACCCCAGCCATGAAGAACTTCTGTCAATGGGCAAGGCGGAGGAACGCGATTATGTATACATTCTCACGTCTGTGCCACTACACCACACGCGCATGGAATGGTCCCTTGCCTAGTTGCTACTGTGCCCACTTGCCAATATTACCACATACATTGAGTTTTTATCCCTGACACCTCACGTTCTGCACTAGTTTTATCACTCATCCGATGGTATTCTCCCATGCCTTGGTTGCATTTCTTACAACAGCACTGATGGACCACCACTGCCCGTTTCTCAACGGCTGTGTGTGGGAGCGTAACTACGTACACTTTTTTCTGTTCTTGGGACATTCTGTGAACGCTGTATTATACAGTTGGTATGTAACATACCCGATATTCTACACCTGTTTCCTGGTGGGAACATCGGAGAAGAGTGTCCCGTGTCAAGGTATAGGACCAGCATTGTCCTTTATCGCTGTCCCGCTGACTATGCTGGGAGGACTGGTACTAGCACTCTTCTTCTTTGAGGTAAGTTGTGCCCTTCCGCACACAGATCCAAAAGTATGTTTGTCATATTTATGTATCGGTTTATACATAACGTGTGCACACGTGTATTTGTTTAAATATATATATATATATATATATTTACATATATATATGTATATATATATATATATATGTATGTATGTATGTATGAATGAATGTATGTATGTATATGTAATA